ATACCAAACAACATGAATCAAACATGCACTTTATTTATTTACACTAAATAACAAAAGTACATCAAATCGGATTAAAGCTAAGGGCATACAAAACTGTCTAACAAAACTTCTTCCCTGAAACAGGACCATAGCAGTAATAACCCTTTTGAGTTTGTGCATAACCGAGGAAAATGCATTTAGAGGCCTTAGGTTCAAACTTGGAATGATGGGGCCCGAGAAGCTGAACGAAACAGGTATAACCAAAGGTTTTAAGGGGAACGGTAAACAACTCCTCATCTGGGTATAGAAGGGAAAAAGGGGTTTTCATATCAAGAACTCGAGAAGGAACCCGATTAATGAGATATACTGTCGTAAGGATAGCATCACCCCAGAAGCGAATAGGTACATTGGAGGTATACATAATGCTTCTAGCCACCTCCAAAATGTGCCTATTCCTCCTTTTGGCAATCCCATTTTATTGTGGTGTATGAGGGCAAGTGCTCTGGTGAATAACTCCATGATTAAGGAGGTAAGAGGTCAATGGCTTAGCAAAGTATTCATTTGCATGATCAGATCTAAGAACTTTGATTTTGACCCCAAACTGGGTTAGAATCTTATGAAAGTTTTGAGTCAGAGCGGGAACCTCATCTCGAGAACAACATAAGATAGATCCAAGAAAAACGGGTATGGTCATCAACAAACAACAGAAAATATTTGTACCCACCCATAGAAGGGATGTGATACGGCCCCCAAACATCAGTATACACAAATATCAAAAGAATTATTACTCCTTTTATTACTCAAAGAAAAAGATGTTCTACAATGTTTGGCAAACTCACAACTCTCACATTTCAACTTTGACAACTCAACAGACTCAAATAAAGCAGAAAACAGACTCTTCAAGGACCGGAAAGATAAATGACCTAATTGATTATGCCAAAGCATAACTGGACTCACAAACTGAGAAACAAAGGACTTCTTATCCACTGGCTCTTCCCAACGAGAACTCTCTCCGAGCAGATAGATCCCATTCGTCTCACGACCAATCCCAATCACCTTCCTCGTCTCCAAGTCCTGAAAAACACATCGGTCAGGGAAAAAGGTTACTGAACAGTTCATATGTTTGGTAATACTATTGACTGAAAGCAGGTTAGTATCAAGCTTAGGAACATAAAAGACAGAAGATAAAGAGGTAGTATCCGATAACTTGATGTCACCCTTGCCAGAAATGAGAACAAGTGAGCCATCAGCAATGGATACTTTATCTCTACCGGAGGACAAGTGATAAGTAGTGAACAATGATGGCAAGCTAGTCATATGGTCGRATGCACYTGAATCTATTAYCCAACAGTGTTCAGTATTACCTGGAGCTGAAGCATGGTAGGCTGAGGCTCGAGTACCTGAATGTGCAAATGCAGATGTGACAGGGGCTGATGGTGACTGAGATGGCTGAGCTGAACTCCCAACTTCCTTTTCCAACTGTATTAGGGCAGCCCGAACTGCGGCTAAGGTCTCCAGGGGTGTGCCTTTTGTGCCTGACGAGGATGCTAAATCAGTATTCACAGCCACATGAGCATTACCCTTCTTATTTCTCAGTTTTGCTGGGACCAAATGAGRATGCAGCTTCCAACAAGTATCTTTTGTGTGCTTGGGTTTCTTGCAATGTTCACATACCAGGTCCCGTTTATCTTCCTTCTTCCTGTCCCTTTCTGGATCACCCCCTAATTTAGGTTTAACAACTGCCAGGGCTGGGGAAAGGGGTTGAGGTTGCATCATGACTTTCCTCTTGATCTCTTCACTATGCACCAGGGAGTATGCTTGAGAGAGGGTCACACTATCTCTGGTCAGTATCTATTGCCTCACAATGTCATAATCTGAATTCAGGCCAGCCAGAAATTCAAATACCATATTTGTCTCAACTTGCTTTCTGTGAGTCTGTGCATCTTTGGGACCCTCCCACTCAAGAGTCTCTAGATGATCAATCTCATGCCACAAGGATTTCAAGGTAGAAAAATAGACAGAAACTGGTTTCTCTCCTTGTTTAAGACTATTCACTTCACACTTCAGTTCATAGGCTCTAGCAACAATAAGGGGTTGGGAATAGGTTTCTTTCATAACATCCCATATCTCCTTGGTTGTCTTTGCCCACAAGTAATTTTGGCTGATAAGTGGCTGCATAGAATTACACAACCATGTCATAACCAAGTAGTTCTCTTGAACCCACTTGGTATACATTGGGTCCTCCTTGGAAGGTTCTTTCACATCTCCCAAGAGGTAGCCTAGTTTTCCCCTTCCCCCAATAGCCATCATGGCTGATTAGATCCATTCCAAGTAGTTTGACCTGTCAAATCTCACAATTGTAATTTGAAACCCAGTTTCAGATATACTACCATAACTGCTATTCCCAAAACTACATTCTCCCTGATTTTTAAACTCCATTTTTTGTCAAGAATCAGTAGTTACGAACTGTTAGGGTTACTATAACAGAAAACAGCACTTGAACAGTCGATCGCAATCAGAAATCAGTATGGAATCAATGCAGGTCTGATCTGAAACCAATCTGTAATCACAGTATATGCATGAAACTAGTGCAGGTTTGATCTGAAACCAATCGGCAATCACAGTATATGCATGAAACCAGTGTAAATCTGATCTGAAACCAATCGGCAATCACAGTACCAAGCAATTCGTACAAGTTTTTCACCCCCTAAAAGAGCTTGAAACCAAAAAATAGGTTTGAAACCAGCTTAGAGAGCAATCTGAGATGCTGGAACAAAATTAGGGTTTTAATCGTAGGTCTGAAATAAGTGCTCCGCCGCACTTTCCAAGCAATTCCTACAGTTAGGTCTTGTCATAGGGTCTATGTGAAACCCTAAAACTTATCACCTCTGAGAGAAAACCCTAAAACAAGCACTTTCCAAGAAGATAAAAGAGTTCAGCCCAACAGTTGGGTTTGCCGCAAGGTTAATGTCAAACCCTAGAATAGAGAGAAAACCCTAAAACAGTTTGGCCGCTCCTTTTAGATAGGTCCAACCTATCTTGACTAATAGCAATCTCTAGAGAATAAATAAGACTTACCCAGAGAATGTTGTTCGCTACCTTCCAAGGTTGCCTGAACCCTAGCCTTCTCTGATTCTTCCTAATTACCAACACTCTGCAAGTCGTGACAAATCTTCAACAGCTGCTAAACTCTTCTGGTAACCTCCAAGAATCATCCAACGAACACTTCTTCATAAACTTCCAGCCCTAGATAGTTCTCATGTGGTCGGCTGGACTAGACTCACATGACCACATGAGAAACCCTAGATAGGCTCTGATACTAAGTAAGCGATCAAGACTACAATCAGCCTTAACCCTCATAAATTCAGATTAGGAAAGGTAGAAGAGAAAGGAAGAAAAGAGAGGAGAAGAACTAGAGAACACAAAGGTTTGAAAGAATGGACAGATTCTTATTGACCTGCCGCCGCCACTCTCTTATTATTTATAGGTTATGTTCAGTACATAGGGGAAAATGACAGATCTGCCCTTAGTACTTACATGACAAATAAAGCAAATAAATAACTGAAATAACAAACTGACCACCAACTRACACTAMYATGACTGAAACAAATAATTACACATACTATCCTACGAACACAGTGGGGACCACAGCTGTGGGGCCCACATCAGTGTTCTCTACAGAAATTAATACAATCACTTCAAATGGCATTCAAGAGATATGATAATTTAAATCAAGTAGGTTAGGAGATCTGTTAATAGTTTAGCAGATGGTTTAGCAAAACAAGGAGTAAATAGACAACAGATGTACTGGGCTCAATTGTAATAAAGGCAGTGATACAGCTGGGTGGGTTTTTCTTGTATTGGGTTAGACAGTTTCTTCACAACTTCTGGTTGTACTATTTCCCTTTTTTATTAATGAATGAATCAATTTCTATGTTGCTGATCAAAAAGGATTTAAAGAACTCTCTCCCATTTATGTCATTATATGGATGAGAATCTACGTTGCACAAAGTGGCTCCTCCAAGGCAAACAAGAGGATGTATAAATTAAACCTTGGTAAAATTTTCTTCTCCTATAGGATCGATACCCGCCCAAGAAGCATGCCCTTTCCCTTTCAAGACAAAAATACCAATGCTCAAGGGCCCAAATTTTCCCAATGAACCACTATCAAATCTCAAACCAGATTCCCCCACAAACAAAAAAGGCCATTACCTAATGTTGGCCCCAACTAACTGGGCCCTGAATGCTTTGTCATAAACAGCAGTCCCAGCAAAGTGGATGACAATGACTCAGCCACAAAGATTCTAACAGATATCATCAATACTAATGACCAAGTATTCCTTCTGAGTTGAGGCAATGACTTATTCAGATCTAGAAAGTTGTGTGCTTGTTTTATATGATCCTTTTGTTCCTCTCCTGCCATTGTGATGCAGTAGCGCTGGAACAAACTAACACAAGAAAGAGAGAGGAAGAGAGAGAGAGAGAGAGAGAGAGAGAGAGAGGAGAAAGGGTAGAGAAAGAGAAAAGAGAGAAATCCCAAGGAATCACTCCAAGGGTCCTAGAATCACTCTAAGGTTTGTAGGAATCACTCCATACAGAAAGAGAGCTCTAAAGAAATCTCCATTCATTCATTAACTTCAGAAGGAAGAGAATACATCTATTTATAGAGTGACTTGTGTGGCCCAGAATACTGTTTACCATAATTCTTGTCTTGTGCATCAAGAAACACAATAACTTTCTATCTACTAATGCAAATAAACTGAAAATTGAAAGACAAGCCCTACTAAACTAGAGGAACAAGATATTATAGCCCAGGCCCCACACAAGACCAATTAAAATGACAAAATACCCATATTGTCCAAATATACAAAAAATACATAAAATTTAAGAAAATTCCAAATTTGATTCTTCAGCTCCTACATGACATTGGTCCCACATGACAATATATAGTATTACCTTCAAAAGATGTCTGATTTCTACGGGACAATTCATCAGAATGTACCATATTAAGGAACCTAGGTGCAGCCTAGTAGATGATAAAAATGGGCAAAAAGTCAATTGAAATAGTCTAACCATGTGCAAAGAGGATCAATAATTAAACTCGTAAGAAGAGGCTACTTAATACAGTATAATGCTCTAAAAGAGCAAGAACGTACAAATAATGCATGGGTTGAAGTTGTTGGATTTTAATCTCATTGAAGATTAAATCCAATGGGCATTTGATTGATTAATTACATAAAGAACACACCTACACATGCACCTTTGAAAATGGTTTTGAAGATCCCACCATGTTGAACTAGTTTTCTCCTCTTTTGAGACTTATCCCACATTAGAAAATCACTAAACTTTCTTTGGGTTTTTAAATAAGAGCTTCCTTACACTCCTTAGAAGTATAAAGATGAGAGTATAGAGACTTGCTACTGCACAACGCACACACATGCGTGTGCGCACGTGTGTGCAACACAATGAAACACTTTAAAGGTGCACTTTGCTCGCACTTCGCATACGCCCATGTGGTTCGTGTGAAGTGACTATATTTTTAGTGCAATGACACTTGATGTTATGAAATGGTTTATGATGGCATAGTATGAAATCATAGACTACGGACTTTGCAAAATTGCAAATTGTATAGTGGGAAAAATCGCAAAATCACAAGTAGTGATTCATAGCTCGCAAATAGACACTTAGAAAAACACATTCAGTTTGAACCGCACATAAGGGTGTGTTTGGGTATCAAAGGCCGAACTGTGACTGTTATTGTTTTAAGTTAATCCAACGATCATGACTTGATTGGGTATGATCAAGAGATATTATTCAAACATTAACAGTCACTAATTGTAACTAAGAACGGTCACAAAGTTTGAAATCATGAGTGAACAAAGAGCCTCTTTGAACCAACACATTCCTTCTAAAGATGACTCTCCAGAATCTATAAAAGGATGTAAACTAAGCTGAATTTGAACACACAAGTTTTTCGGTCACTTCTCACTATAAATCACCCTTGTCTCTCTCAGTCTAATCTACTATTGTCTCGCAAAAGGTTTTTGTTAGAGAATCTTTGACTTTGTTGGTTGCAGTTTCTTGCCCAAAGTTCTGTTGTATCCTAAGTGAGGGCAAATAGCGTTCTAAATGCCTCAAAGCTTCTCCTCCAAATTTTCGTGACCCCATCTTCCCAACAAAAGTAATGAAAATGATCTAAAAGCTTACAATTGATAAAGAATATGGTGAAATGGGATTCATGTAGCTTGGGTTGAGTTGAGTTGGGAATAAAACATCTTCAACATGTTGGATTCATCTTTAAAAGAAAATAAAAACTGTTCAAATTCAGTTCCTCATGGAAACAAAAAAATCATTAGTCAGCTGGTACCCGCTCTAATCCTACAATATCGAGACCGGATCTGCTCCTCACACCAACCTCACAGGCACATCCTATCATGTATCGGGAATATCTCCCGTACTTGTGTGTTATTATTCATGAGAGATGTTCTCAATGCACGGCGAGATGTTCCTATGAGGTCGGTGTTGTTGATACGAGTGGCCAGATGCCCTCGATTGGAATAACCTTGGTGTAAGGATAAATCCTACGGCCAATGGCATAGCCTACACCAATGGGTAAAAGTGTCTTTATGCTTAATACTGTGTTTTTCTTATCTGTGAATTGTCTGTTTTATTGTTGAACAAACTATTGCCAATGTCAGCATAGTTTGCTTGACAAGGTCAATAGGTTTGCTAGATAGTTGAAAATTTTCTAGCACCTAATCCTATCTAGTGGGCACTTGTAATTGATCCAACAGGCAGAATAGGTCCATCTGATGCTAAAACCAAGCTGACTTCGTAACTGTTGGGATTCCCCTAACAGTGATATTTTTTCTTAACGTTAAAGAAAGCCCACACCTATAAATAGGGCCTCTTGTGAATACATCAGATACAGAAGTCAGTCTTTGGCAAATAATCCACTTTTGGACGTCTGCTATGTTGGGTCATCATTGAGCCCTTTGCTGTTTTGCTAAAGTGCCAAACAAGTGTGTTTTTCCTTTTTTGCGTTTCTGGTTTATCTTTGTTTGACAGGGGCTATCAAGTGTGAGGTGCGCTCTGTGAGGAGCAGACCCTAATTCAATCCCAGAGACTGTTTCCAACATTCACAGAAGCTAAACAACTCCTTGTCTTAGACATTGTATATCATGTCATGGCCCTAAAAAGATAAAAAACAATACGTGCGCAGAAACCACGTTTAACCATTAAGAATAAGCAGAGCAACTAAACAGCTATTAGTCATTTAGATGCGGAGAGGAAATTGTATGCATAGCATATAGATTTTCTATTTAGATCGTCTGGTCTGAATGCACTGAACAGTCTGAGATTATTGATCCTGCGTATCAGAAATACAATTGAAATCTTAGGCAAAGAAAGGATTACTTGAAGACTCCGTTTCAGGAATAAATCCACCACCACCATAAGCGAATGTCTCTGGAGCGGGCTTCGCATGAGGAAGACTGGCATTTACATTCCTCGATCGGTAATGCTGCTGCCACGCGAGGGTGGAACAAAGGAGAGACAACGATTTTCCGGTGCCGGTAGGCGACTCGAGCAATGCGTGGCAGTGGCCTTGTCTCTGAGCGCGATCTAGGGTTGAGATGACTCTAGCCATGAACGCGAGCTGGGAACCGTACGGCTTGTAAGGAAACTCTACGGGGATTCCACCAATATGGTGGATGTTAGGGCTTTGGTTCTTAGAATTAGCGTTTGGTTTTGGAGCTGCTGATTCCATGTCTGCTTTGAATTAGCTTTAGATAGCGTGTGCAGAGGCGTTTTTCAGCTTGTAAGAAAGGTTTCAACTTTCAAGATGAAGGTGAGCTTTTTATACATGGGAGAAGAGCAGGAAAGAAATGGAAGATTTATTACGATTTTGGCGGGAATTGTTTGAACCGGGGTTTGGGATTTTTGGATGGAGGGAGATTTTGCTGAAGGGTTAAAATACTTCTAACACCCGTATGTTTTTGCAAATTGACTAAGATTTATTACGATAATGCTTGAAAAATTAGGGTAAAAGACTGGCCATGTTTGGGAGTGCTTGCTTATTAAGGCCATTAAGCATTTATTAATATTTGGGAAATAAGCCTCAAATAAGTATTTATTTTAAAAATAAGGGCTTATTTTTTAAGCTCAAATTTTCAATTTTTTTTAAGTGCTACTACATTAATCACTTGTTCAAAAATTTTCTTCCATGATTTTTCTTGGTAAATTTTTTAAATACCAATTATACTATTTTATAAAAGCACTTTTACAAATACACTTTTATAAAAGTAATTTTATGAAAAATATTTTTATGAAAGTACTTTTAAGAAAGTACTTTTATAAAAGCATTTTGGTGAAAGTACTTTTATTCATTCACTTTGAATTGGGTATTTTGATCATTTGAAAGAAAATGAAGGAAAAAAGAGTCACAATTGTTTATTTAAGTGCTTATCGGAGAAAAAGATCACCAAATGTCTAATACGAACACTTGAAAAAGTTGGGTACCAAATACAAATAAGTGCTTATTCGAATAAGCACTTATTTTTAACATAAGCACTCCCAAACATGGCCTTATATGGGGTTTTCATTTCCTCTTAATTTTCTCTCTTAAAGTGAACCTTATAACTTCGATAGAGAAATGGGTGTTCGTTTCATGTTATCTCTTAAATTGGAACCTTACAACTTTTTGTTTTCTAATGATACCCCCAAAAACACAAACAAAAGTTCTCATATATGGGGTTAAAATGGGCATTTGACAATTTTTAGAATTCAAAATTCAAAACTACATTCTCTACATTAAGAGTTAAAAAGAAAGAAAAGTTTATTAATACAAATATATCTCTTAACGTAATTATTGCACTTTTTAGATGTTAAAGGTAAGAGCAAACGAATAGGCCCTTAAACCTCCCTTCATATTTATCATATTTATCGTAAATACTAAACTTTCCCTCTATTTTTATAAAAGACTAAAAACCTCCCTTGTTGGGTGATGTCATGAGACAAACATCTCCTCTTTGTTATGAAGCCATCAAGCTATTTTGAACATGATATCATATGTTGGTAATTTTTTTGGAAAACCCAATTTTGCCTGTGCTCAAAACTAGACCCCAAATGTAATCTGGCAATCTCATGGCTACTAGCATCTCATCTCTCTTTCTTTTTCTTTACACTTAAGGGTCTGTTTCGTTTGCAAGAATAAGGGTTTGGAATCGGAATCGGAATGGGCTATTCCGATTCTAACTGTTTGGTTGGGCAGAATCAAAATCGCATTCCCATTCCTATTGGAATGGCATTCCCCCATTTGAGGGAATGGCCATTCCCTGCCCCTCCCTTGGGAATTAAATCCCATTCCTGTTGATTTTAATTCCCATTCCCATTCCTGTTTGAACCAAACAGACTATGGGAATGGACCATTCCGATTCCGATTCTGGAGGATTTCGATTCCGGTTCTGATTCCGAATACGAGCCAAATGGACCCTTAGTTTATTGAATTTTCCTTTTTCATCTTTCATCCATGTGTGCCCTACAAGCAAAATTACAGGAAAGGGAGAATCGCACCATGGAATTGCAAATTCTGGTGCAAAGTTATAGAAATTACAAGTAAAGTTGGCATTGTCAATTGATGAAATTCTTGTCCATTTATTTATGTTTTACCACAATTGGCAACTTCATTAAACATTAACAAAAAAAGGAAATATCAAATTTATCCTCCATTATTTCTCAAATTCTTAAAATAAAATCCAAATGATGAAAAATTTCAAGAACCATAAGATTGGGTAAAAGAGTTTGAAGAAGGTCCCACTTATAGTCAACCTAGTTCAATCTCATCCTCCATCATCTTACTAGAATCACTTTCTAGTAACAGAAAAGTATAATTTCTATATTTCATTATTTATTTATGGGTGAATTGGGGTAAACTCGGATAGAGTTATGCTCAAAAGTTCTACCGAACTCTTGTTGTGATAGTAGCAAGGTTCAAAGTATCAAAAACACCAAGTGTATCGGAAAGACAATTTTAAGAGACATATCAAGATACGCTTTGGATAAGCATGCGTATCGGAGAAAAACTAAGATACGTTTGGAAACACTAAAAATACTTTAATAGATCGTAAAAATACATCAACAACATTAAATATAAGACTTTAGTGAGGTGTATATACATTAAATTAATATATTTTAATGGTTTTATGAAGAAATATATTATAGTTAATTATAATTTCATTAAAAATCCTATGCTTAACTATAATTTATAAATTATAATTCTTAAGTTTTAATGTTTTATGGGATGGAAAAAACCCAACTCTCCTATCTAACCATAAAATATGCATTGGCACAACTTTTAAGTGAAAATATAGTTAATAATTATTTATTATTTATTTTCAAAAAATATAAAAAAATAAATAAACATTATGGAATATATTCAAAAAATAGTTATTAAATAAGAAATTTAAATTGCTTTGTGGATGTGATAGATCATCCATAGAATTATAATATGTTCAATCATTGTGATAAAATGATAAAATATAACTAATTAATTAATTGTTTTTTAATTCTATAAATATAAAAAATAATAATTATTAAAGAAGAAATTTAAAATGGTGTGTGGATATGATAGATCATCCATAGAATTATAATATATTCAATTGTTGTGATCAAATGATAAAATATAATTAATTATTTTTTTCTAATTCTAAAAATATAAAAAATCAAAATAAAAAATAAAGATGAAATTTCAATTACTCTATGGATATGATAGATAAACCCATATATCTAAAACATATTTAGTCTTTATAGGTAGAGAAAAAATTACATTTTCAAATTTTTTGTTAGTTTATATTTTCCCCAAATATCTTCATGAAACTTCAATAAATCTACTGATAGCACAAAAAAGTTATGATTTTGAATGTAAGAAATGTAGATTAATATAAATTTATACATTCAAGAAAAAAGAAATCATATGATGTTATAAAAAATTGAAAAAATTTACCCATTTTTACCATATTATTTCAAAATTGAAAAAATCTTAAAAAAAAATTAACAATTCACACTTGTTTCTTGCATTTTTTTTTAATCTAGCACTCTAGGAATGAGGTTTGGAGTTTTAGAGTCATTTGGGGGTGAAAGAAGGTTTATTTCAGGGAAAACAAATCTTACTTTTACTTTCTTTTTTCAGTTTTTTGCCATATCTTTTTCATCGATATGCTACCGGTACATCCCTAATACGGGTCCAATATGCATGAAAAAAGACGATACACACGATTTCCGTGTGTATCTTGTATCTATTTTTAAAAGATACGATACGATACGATACACCCACATTCACTATCCCCTAATACGGGCGTATTGTATTGAAATTTTAAACCTTGGATAATAAAACTCCAGTCAAAATTCTCCCACATTCACCATAAAGCCATAGAAAATAAAATAAAAAGCTTTATGGTTTCAGCTGCCCCTTCCTCTCTCACTCTTTTTGATCAATAACACTTTCATTAATTCATCAGTAGAAAATTTACAAGTGGAAGACAAACACACTTATCTTCCAAGAGTCACAAAGAGCTTCAAGAAAGGAAAAAAAGATAAAGATAGAGACACTAACGTTACAGCTTAGCCAAAAACAATGAATCCCTTTCTGCCCCTTGTTTAGCTAAACCGTCGGCTAGGGAATTAGCCGATCTTTTAATCCAACATGTCTTAACTTCCATCTCTCGCACCAGTCACTTGAATTTCCTCCTCTCATTATTGTACTTCCATAAATCATTTTGATCTTTAGTCAGCCACCCTATCACCACCTCTGAATCCCCTTCAATTATGAGTTTCTTGATGTTCAATTCCTTAGCTTTCCGAACTCCTTCCATAACTACAAAGATCTCAGCTCTAAGGGARTCACCCACTCCAATTGGGCCTGAGAACATAGCACAGATGACCCCATTTTCATTCCTAAAAACACTCCCGATCCCCGATTGTCCCGAGTTTCCCCTACTACACCCATCAAAGTTTAATTTCAAGAATCCACTAGGGGGGGGGTCCAAGCCACACTCATTACTGACTTGGTCTGCGTGCAATTTGCAATTTCACCCCACTTCCTCAACATGTCATCCACTGTGTAATCTGTGAATAGTTCCAAAGATTTCAGCCACTGTACCGCCCTAATATGTATGATAGCCCTCAGATCTACTGCTCCTCTCGGAGTTTCTGAGAATATCCTAGAGTTTCTTTCTTCCCATAGTGTCCAACATACTGCAGCCCTTAGTCCTCTCCACATTGTCCTTCCCCTTTTTATCCGCCACCTGAAAAAGGAAGGGGAGAAAAGGCCATGCATGTCTGATGGGGGATTCCAGTTGCATCCAAATAAGGAGAAAGCCCAATCCCAAATTGACCTCGCGAAGTGGCAAGACACCAGTAGGTGAAAACCAGTCACACCATCTGCTTTACACAGAACACACCACTGAGGTGACAAACAAGTATTGGGTCTCTTCTTTTGGAGTAGATCACCAGCGTTGATTCTTTCCAGATAGGCTTCCCAACAAAAACTGCCAACCCTAGGAAATATAACTCTGCACCAAACCTCACCAACAGGGAAAGGGGAAAGGGTAGGATTGGTCGACTGACTTAAGTCTTTGAAGAACGAAGCACAAGAGAAAATGCCATTGGGGGTAGGTGTCCAAATTCTATAATCTGTCCTAGTGGGGTTTAAGACAACGTTATCAAGAAGTGCAATAAGGCTCGAAAGACTGTCGAAATCTGAGTCCCTCAAATTCCTTCTTAGACCCAAGTTCCACCCAATCCCAGAAGTGGAAGAGGACGGGGTGGTGAAAGACGAGATCGACTCATTATTCAAATTAGAAAGAGCATACAAAGACGAAAACTAATCTCCTGTTCTCCACCCCTACATCTAGCCAATCCAAACCTTCTACCCACACCCTTCTACACACAGGCCTT